TTTATTTATTTATTTATTTATTTATTTATTTATTTATTTATTTATTTCACATCCTGAAAACTGCCCTCTCCTGGTCCACACATCACAGCCCATCCCCCAAACCCCCATTTCCCTTCTCCTCTGACAGGGTTGAGGCCCCCCTTGGGTATCCCTCAACCCTGGCTCATCAAGTCCCTGCAGGGCTAAGTGCATCCTTAGTTCAAATCTATCTAGAACAACCTTAATATTAGAGCAGACATACCACAAAACCTATAAAATGTGATTTTTTAATGGTAAGTCTGCCACTAGAGATTCAAGGTAAAATGTGCTTCTAAGTATTAAGAGCTGATTATAGGACTGATGATGGGTTGTATGTATGCTGAGAGCATCCACAGGAGGGAGGAAATCAGGTTGTTCCTCTGGGGTCTGTTTAGTATCCAGGGAATGGGACAGAAAGTGTTGAGAGAGTCCACAACAGGTAGTCTACCTAGGGCTGGGTATGAGGTTGGAGGATTGGTCTGGAACAGAAGAGGGAAGAAGTAGATATGATAGTGAAGATCTAACGCTTCCCTACTTGCTGCATGGGCTTACTTGTTTGTCTGGCAAGACTGCCCACCGTGAATCTAGTAAGTGCACCCTGGAGTCAAGGCTGGGATAAGAGAATAAGTGGGCATAAAGGTTGGAGAGGTCTGTGTGATCAGCTAGAGATGAGGACAGAAAGGATGAGGGCCTGAATGGGGTGAAAAAGACAAGTTTGATTTGGAGGGGAGGAAAGAAAGGTGAAGATCTGCCATTAGACTGCACGTTTCCCGGGCTCTCATGACCTACTGATTCCCACTCAATGTCTTCTGAAGTTGGGTATTGGAATGAAAGGAGGATTGGGAGGAAGAAAGTTTAGAGGGAAAGATTGGCGTAATCCATTGGATGTGGATGCAAGGAAGCAGCAGTGGCTACAGCAGATGATCTGTTACAGAGCTGGAATAAGACTAACACATTGGTTTAGGAGAAGATGAGTGTAGGTGACGATCTGAAGATAGCCTACCTGCTTCCCTGGGAATACCACCTTTCTACACTTGTCCTCATCTTGTTCTTCAGATAATCTGAATCTTTTTCTCTTCTATTACTGATTAAATACTTACTATGACTGGCCTCTCTTTGTGGATTTGAAAAAATAAATATAAAAACTCCAGAATACATTAATGGGATATCTGTCCTATAGATTCTGAGTGGGTAGAATTAATCAGCATTTCAGAGACTAGGAAATAAGTTCCTGCATCCTTTTCAAACTCAACACACTTCTCACTTGGTTATGCTTGATAGAACAATGCCATTGCTGTATTTAACATAGTGCAGAGAAAGAACCTAAAATGAACTTGAAGATATGAATAAATTTTGGGTTGGACTGACATGTATAGCTGGAGAAAGCCCATTAAGATATCTCTGGTTCCTAACTGAAGTAGAGTAATCACTGAGTAGGATCATCACATTCCTCCCACCCATGCCTCCAAGAGGATGTCCCTACCCCCAATGCCCCACCTCCCCAATCCTACCCTCATCCACCACCCTCACCCCCATACTTCTCACCCCACCACAACCACCCCACCACCAGGACTTCAAACACCCTGAGGACTCAAGTCTCAAGTCTCTTGAGGGTTAGGCACATCTCTTCACTCACTTCATTGAGTAAACATTTTTTTTTCTCCTTCACTTTTTATTTAGTAGATCCTACAAAATTTGGTACTAACCTCAGGATTGTTTCCTTATATAGTTTTCTTTTTTATTTCCTATATTAAGCCAAATATCAGAGTGGCATCCTAGTGATCAGCTTTATCCTTTGCTTCTGCTAGCAGGATAAAAGGAATGTCTTCCTAGGCCACACAATTCATGTTCACTTCTTTTATGTTGTTATTGTTGAACTTTTATATTTTATATTTTTACAGTCCAATCATTGCACCATCCACCCACAGTTTCTCATCACATTCTTCCCACCCCTGCCTCCAAGGGGATGTCCCTACCCCCAACACCCTACCTCCCCAATCCTACCCTCATCCACCACCCTCACCTCCGTACTTCCCACCATCCCCCACAACCTCCACCCCCACCAGGCCTTCAAACACCCTGGGGTCTCAAGTTTCAAGTCTCTTGAGGGTTAGGCACATCTCTTCACTCAATGAGGCCATACATGGAAGTCCTCTGTGGTTTATGTGTTGAGCCTCGGACCAGATAGTGTATGCTGTCTGGTTGGTGGCTCAGTGTCAGAGAGATCTTAGGTGTCCAGATTAGATGAAACTGCTGGTCTTCCTATGGGGTCGCCATCCTCCTCAGCTTCTTCCAGCTTCTCCCTAATTTGACCACAGTGGTACCCAACTTCATTCCATTGGTTAGGTGTAAGTATCTACATCTGTTTCAGACAACTGCTTGTTGGGCATCTCAAAGGACACCCATAGTAGGTTCATATCTATAAGCACAGCATAGCATCAGTAATAGTGTCAAGCCTTGGAGTTTCCCCTTGAAATAGACCCTAAATTGGGCTGGTTACTTGACCTCCTTTCCCTCAATATCTTCTCTATTTTGTCCCTGCATTTCTTTTCGACAGGAACAATTTTGGGTCAGAGTTTTTGACTGTGGGATGGCAACTCTATTGATGCCCTGTCTTTCTACTGGAGGTAGACTCTACTAGTTCCCTCTCCCCACTGTTGGGCATTTTATCTATGGTCTCTCTCTTTGAATCCTGAGAGTCTCTCACCTCTCAGGTCTCTGGTACATTCTAAAGGTTCCCCTACCTCCCACTCCGTGAGGTTACATATTCCCATTCATTCTGTTGGCCCTCAGGGCTCCTCTCTTCTACCCCAATACATTATCATGTACCTTTTTTTGCCCTCTCCCATCTAGGTCTCTCCTTCTGTCTGCTCCCACTCATGATTGCTTTCTTCTCCTTCCCAAGTGGAACTGAAGGATCCTCACTTGAACCTTTCTGTTTGTTATCCTTCTTTAGTTCTGTGGATTGTATTCTGGGTATTCTGTACTTTTTTGGCTAATTTCCACTTACTAGTGAGTACATACCATGCAGGT